AAGATACAGCATTTACAAAATGGACAGAATTTAACAAATCATTTGATATCAAAGAAAAGAGAAATCAAGGGTGGCATCAAGGCTTAAAACTAAATGACTAGGAAGATGGCATGCTTTTGTGAGAAACAAGACCCCCGACAAAAGAAGCAGGGTTGCAAAGGAAGCCTGTGAATTCCGTCTCACACATGGGGTCTGGCATATGATCCCTGTGACAGCATCTGCCACTCAGGTGAAAATACGAGGCTGAAGACAGGAGAGGTCAGGCTATAAATAAAAAACTGGTAATCTCCCAAGTGTGATAGTTAAAATGGTGAGATAAGATTGAACTACTGCGGCAGAATGTAGAGATAGGTGCAGAGGCAGAATCTGGGGGGATGTTTAACACGTATGAGCCAGGTTCACAGTGGATAACAATGCCTGCCTCTAGGAGTTCACATTTTTAGTCGGGGAAGGCAGACAGAAAAACATGCCAGTAAATAAGAGATCTTGCAGGTAGTGACATGTGGCACGCTGAGTGACAGTGTGGGCACAGTTTGAGCTGGGATGGTCAGGGAAGCTTTTGACCTGATGCCTGCATCGTGTGAAGGAAGTGTTTGTGTAACCGTGTTAGAGACGAACATTAAATCACAGGAATAAATCCGCAGGCCTTAAGGTGGTGGTAGTAGGGTGTTGTGTTACCAGATCAGTAATGAGAACATGGAAGTAGTGAGGTACAGTTTACTGTTCAGAATTTGTGTGGTAAAGGGAAGAGTAAAAGCAAGATATTTGGGAGTATCACAAAACCAAAAATAATTTTTTTAGATTAGGAGAGGTTGCAAAATGTGTGGGTTGAGAGTCTGGACTTCCTGGAAAGGGAGAAGTACAAAAGGAAGAAGGATCCTTGAGGAATGTCCCAGAGGAAGGAGGGTAGTGTAGGTCACAAGTTTAAGACAGAAGGGATGAGGTTAGCCTTGCAGAGCAGCGGGAGGGGGCAGTGGGTGAAGGTGCAGGCTGCTCCTGTAGTCAGGAGAGGTACCGGAGAGGGGTTTATGTGAGATAGGCTCCCACAGCAGTCTTGGGCCTTGGCATCCTCCACTCCTAGTGGATGGGTTTGGGGAGTTGGAGCTCGGAAAGGTGCAGAATAAATGATTGAGGGACGTGGTTGGGTAGGTGGGGCATTCATTTCGTCCTGCAGCGCAGTAACTAGGGCGTAGAAAGCATTGGGAAAGTGTATTGAATGAATGCATGCCCAGCCAGGAGGGCTGTGTGCATACTGCAGTATGCAGACAAAGGTTACATTCTTTATGTTGCAGGCCCCCACCACCGGGAAGTAGGTGAACTAAGGGTCACAGCTGTGGGGCGGCATCTAGGCTAGATGTACCGGACCAGGGGGAGGGTAGGAGGAGCGGGGAAGAGGAAGAGGTGGAGGTCACGAGGCTTTTCTTAGAAAAGGTAACTTTGAAACCATCTTTGAAGGTTGAGCAGAAATTAACCCCACAGGTCATGTAAAGGGCCCTTCTAGTAGAGGAGCTGAAGTCAGAGTGTGCGGTGGAAGTAACTGGCATGCGTCTGTGAAGGAATCAGCCGTATAAGGCTCTGCAGCTGTGCTCTGTGGTCAGGGACAGAAGAGAAGAAGGTAAGGGGTGGGCAAAGCGGGAATGTCCGAAGAGCAAGGCGTGAGGGGAGCAAATCTAGGGTATTTGAAGGGAAACTCGTTGGCACAGCTCTCAGGTGAGGATCGAACGGACTCTAGGAAGAAAGACCCTGGAACTAGAAGTTACTGTAAGAGTCCTGACCTGCCCCAGTGGAAGGGGGAAGTGGAAGAGCCTGCTGTGGTTAAAGGCAGTTTGCAGGATTTGTGGAGCAGTATGCGTTGGCAGTGAGCCAGGGCTGGGCCTCCCATTTCCTGGCTGAGGTAGGAAGGAGGTGGGCTGCCTGTTGGGGATAGTTGAGAGTGTCCGTTTTTAGACGCAGCGAAGTGTCCTTCCTGGATTGTAATTGTGTTCTTACACTGTGTTGTAACTGACTAGTTTTCGTTTGTCTTTCCTACTAATCTCTTTAAGTTTTTTGAGGACAGAGCCCGTCTTTACCGTTATACAAGGTAGCACAGCACCTGGTGTACAGTATGTGCCGCACAGATATCTGCAGGGATCAATGAATGGCAGTTGGAGAGAGGTGAAGGTGTGTTGTACATTTCATGAATATAAATGTTGAAACTCGTGAACATGAATCAAGGGAGTGGACTGGTCAGATGATCAAATTAAGTCAAAGTACAAGGAATTTGTAGGAAAGAGAAACATACAGGGTAACTGGAAGTGGATTTGGGAAGAACAAGCTGGGTATAGTGGTGTGTATCAGTAGTCCTAGATACTCTAGGAGGCTGAGGCAGGAAGACTGTGTGAGTTTGAGGCCTGCCTGGGCAACATAGCAAGACCCTAACCCATTTCTTAGAAAAATTACAAATAAATAAATA